GTTCCATAAAAGTTCTAGCATAAGCGTAATTCGGCTAGCAGATTGTTGGGAAAAATGTTGAGTAAAAAAAAAATAACATGCCTTTACTTCGTGAAAACAAAACGGCGTCCAAACAAAAACTAGCAGGTTGCTGTAGCATGGTTCGTCGCCAAATTTTCACCAAAAAGTCGCCAAGTTACCATAATCCAAAGATTAACTGCAAATGGAAATGTCAGATAAGTAAAATTAAAGACCTTTTGATGATTTTGGCTGAAATTAAGGACTTGTAAAATCCAAAAATAGCTTCAAAAAAATCTACGTGCTTTTAAGGACTGTAGAAACCCTGACGTAAATATGCCTGAGTATGACAATGATGAAGCTTCCACTTCCTGACAAATATAACACTGACTATTCATAGTGCCTGCAACTTATAGCAGGCAACAGGATAGATGAAATGTGATCAGGTTTTAAGCTATGACACTGACAGAAGAGCTGCTATGTCCAATACTTTCTTCCAGATGATATTTGTGAACAAATGTCTGGTTGTCATGGGTTCACAAATTGTATTAGACTCCCTGGGGAAGATGATATATTCCCATAAACAGCCTCAGTGTCTTTGCACCATTACCTTTGATGCTGATGTGATTATTTTTCATAAATTTTGACATGAATTGTCCAGACAAGAATGATTGAATGAACTTAATTCTTTATACAGTCAAAAGTCATTAACCCGGACTTGTCGGGACTTCGGCGATTCCGGATTATCGATTTTTCGGATTATAAATGATCAGTATAAATCTGGTAAGATGGCATGCATAAATTATAAAATTAAAAATATGAAACCGTAATTTATGAAATAACGAACAATTATGATCTAAAGGGTATCAAAATTTACAACAAAAAAAAGCTTAATATTTATTTGTTTACTTTATTAAACATTTCTTTCAATGTAAGTTGTTTAAGTTACTTTGTTTTATGTGCTAATACTTTCTCTTTAATTCTATATAAACAGAAATCATTTCTTGTTCAGTTACAAAGTTCCGCTGTTCAAGTCCTCTAATTGCTGTGCCGAGAATACCGACTAACTTGTTAATCGAAATTTTTTTGTTTTCACTAACCTCTCTGTCACTTTCTTCATGCCTTTATCCATTTTTTGCAGCAATTCAACTTTTGTTTGATGGACATCGAAACATACTTTCGCTTTGTAGGTCCTTTGGAAGCTCCAGCATCGGAAATTCTATTTGACATAATCAAAAGTTCAAGCTTACTTTTATAAAATTGCTCTAACAGTCTGCAAAAAATAATAAGCCAGATCCAATTCGAAGATTAAGGAACAACGCAATCTGCAACATTAACTGAAATAGATAATTAGATAATTTTAGCTTATACCATCCGTTATACATTAAACGCGCATGCGTAAATGTATTATGCACTTGCGCACACGCATATGCACAGCCGTAAAAGTCTTATGTGCATGTGCCAACGCAACGCATGCGCAGAAAGTTTGTAGCTTTGAAGTCCGGATTATGGGTGTCCGAATTAACGACCTTTGACTGTACAGCAATATAGCATCATCCTACAGCACTGTAAAAAAACCAGCACAGTAAAAGTCCATAATTCGGACGTCCATTATTCGGAATGATCTATAATCCAGACCTCAAAGCCACAAACTTACGCATGCGCGTTTAATGTGCGCGTCCTCTTTGTATGCACGTAAAGCCAGTAAAGCATTTACCCATGCGCACTTCCGATAGTGAAGAAAGTGACAGAGAACGTTATTGAAAACGAAAAAATTTCGATTGACAAGTTAGTCGGTATTCTCGACACGGCAATTACAGGATTTGAACAGTGGAACTTTGTAACTGAACAAGAAAGTATGTCTGTTTATAGAAGAGAGAATTAAAGAAAAGTATTAGCACAAAAAACGAAGCAACATAAAGAGCTTATATTGAAAGAAATGTTTAATAAAGTAAACAAATAAATATTAAGCTTTTTTTAAAATTTTAATACCCTTTAGATCATAATTGTTCTTTATTTCATAAATTACAGTTTCACATTTTCAACTGTATAATTTCTGCGTTCCATCTTACCAGATTTAAAATGATGATCTATAATACGGAAAAACCCCTAATCCGGAATCGCCAAAGTCTCGACAAGTCCGGATTACGGACTTTGTACTGTATAATGAATTCAATTGTGGTCAACATTCGCTCCAGGACGAATTTCTTGAAGTTCGTCCAATATCGGCTGTTGTACCAGAATATATTGATGCTGTACATAAACTGATAAAGCACGATTGTTATGTGAAATGCTGTGAGATTGACACATCTCTGAACATTTGGCGATAAAAAAGATTTGTTCCCTTTGGATCCTGCATAATCTGACAAACACTTAAAAGAAGGCCTGCATCGAGTGGTGCAAGGCAATGTTGGAAAAATATGTTCAAGGTACATCAAAGGCTGTGTATAACATCTATACAGGTGACAAATCATGGAGCTATGCATATGAGCCCAAAACAAAATAGCAGTGAACTGTATGGGTCTTCTAAGATGAGCCAAATCCAACAAAAGTTGTTCACGGGAGAAGCATATTGAAGCAAATGGTTGCATTTTTTTTTTTTTTAATTTTTTTGTTTTTGACATTACCAATAACGTGACGATAGTGGCATTAGAGCAAGACAGGATCGTCTATTCCAAATGGTACATGACTATTTGTTTGCCAGAAGCTATCGGAATCAGAAAAAAGAAGAAGACGAAAATCATTCTTCATCATGATAAATAGAAGCTGTCACACATTGGCTCAAACAAAGGAATTTCTTATGGGTCAAAACATCGAACTGATAGGTCATCCACCATACAGCCCTGATTTGGCACCCAATGACTTTTTTTTAATTCCCATGCATCATAAATAAATTACATGGCCAGTGATTTGCAACATCCAAAGAAGCAGTTGATGCAATCAAAATGCATGTTTGAGTTACCTCAGTCAGAGTGGGAAAAGTGAGCCAAAATTGTATTGATCTTTATGTGGAATGTTTTGAAAAACAACAAAGCCAATTTCGATCATAAACATTTGTTTTTTTTTTTTTTTTTTTTCATTATTAAGTTAGAAATAAAAATAACAACCCTCGTAATGCCAGAAAACATTACTCAATGTGTAGTGCCATTTCACTCAAGTACACATAACTGTATTCACATCCCAACAACACATTCCATGATTTCACAAAATGAGAAATTACCTTCTCCCAAACCTACAATTATTTCTCTTTAAAAGTTGGTCAGTTGTTCATAATGCAGTTTCAGTTCTAGATATGCTTCTGTGTTGTCAATGCAATAATAACTTATTCTATCAATAGAATGAATGAGTTTGAGTCTTACAACTCTATTTTATAGCTTTGTAATACAACCAACATTGGGTATTTTTTTAAGGTGAGCCACAATCTCTGGTACTTGTTGCCTCCAAAATTTTACCTTTTCTAAATTCTGCCAGGTAGCACTAATTTCATAAGTTCTGTTAAAGGCCCTGCTTTTGAGTCAGATTTCATTCTCAATTGCATAAGCATCCTACTAGCCAATGCGAATGAAATTTGAATTGCACCTCTCATGGTAACTAATTCATGTTCTAAATGTTTTGCCTTTCTGATTAATTTTTCTTGATGTTACAAATTTTGTGAACAGCACTGTATACCTAATTATACTGTTAAAATAATGCCCAAAGTCTTATCACAAGTTATTATGCAGAGAGTTCAAAAGAGAAGATTACTTGCAGGGTGATTTAAATTTTTATATAGTCTCTGAAAAATATAAATTCCCAACTTTTATTTGCATTCTATTAAGTACAAATGTCTTTTAAACATTTTCTCCCAAAATAAAGAGGCTAGATGCCAGTTTAATAATAAAAGAATTTCCCTCAAGAAAATTATTAACTTCCAAAACAAAAAACAAAAAACTTTTTCTTTTTAAGTACTCTTAATTTGTTCTAGAAAAATCTTTGGTTAGCTTATATTTAAGCACGCCCCCTTGGATCATTGCCAAGTTGTTTCATTTGTCATAACCTGGGTAGTTGAATGTTATGGAAACTCTATTATGATGTAATTGTTTGTGTGATTGCAGCGAATTTGATTGATGGAAAAAGATTTGTAAGGGCTTGTTTGTGTGTCGGATGTTGGTTGTACGCTGCTTATTTTGTGATTTACAAGGTAAAATGGCTGAATGTGGTAAGATTAATTAGAAGTTTCTATACAATTTCGAACAAAAGGGGGAAAAAAGGCATTAACTGGCTGGTGTGTAAATGAAGGTTTACTTAGTAACCATTATAAATGTCCTGTTCGTACAAAGGAAATGCGTCTGGTTGAATGTAAAGATCGTTCAGATGGCTTTGAATGGGTATGTCACAAGAAAGGTTCAAATGGTCACCATATAAAGCATTCCATTAGGAAGAGAACATGATTTGAGGAAAGTTTTTAGATGCTGTTAAGGAATTTTGTGTGACACAGACTGAAGACACAGAAATTTTTAATTAAGATCAGTGGATATTTCCTTTGTGCAGCGCATAGTGCTTTTTTATGTTTGATTTAAAATGCAGTTTCTTGAGATTATATATTTTTGTTTGGATCTAGTGTAGAATTGGGTGCTCCTTCGATTTTTAAGTGAAAATAGATAGATGTGTACATGGACAAAGTCAAGTCAGTGCGCAATGCCGAGTTTGTGCAATTCTCTGACGTTTTCTCAGTGAAAATAGGTCAATGTGTACATGGATACCATTTGTGCAATTCTTGGACTTGTTATTTTGGCTTTGTATAGCGAAGCCAAAATATTAAGTCAAAGAATTGCACAAACTTGGTGTTCATGCAGCGCCAATTTTCGCCAAAGGGCACCCGTAAATATACTTTTACCAAATCTTTAACTTCCAATTGTATAAAATAGTCACATAAAAGCATGGCACATAGACTGTGACAATATTTACAATAACTTAGCATTCAGTTTACCTTTTATTAAATAGAATACATTTTAGAAACTTACTTGATTCCAGCTGCTTGAGCTTTATCTGTCTTTGACAACACAGACAAAGTATGCAATACCTATATTAAGAAAATTTATTTATACTTTAAAAAATAAGATATAATATTTCTATGCAAATGCTTACTTTGATTAAATGGGGATAAAAACATCAAGAAATATTGACTAATATGTTTAAAAAATTGTCAACATAGCAATAAACAAAAATGTAACTTTAATATAAGAATTACTATAAGCATTTCTTTTATTTACATGCAAATGCTTACTTAAGAATTAGACTTAAATGGGGATAAAAACATTCAAGAAAATATTAACTAATATGTTATTAAAAAAATTGTCAACATTTTAATGCAATTAAACAAAAAGTGTAACTTTAATGAAAATTAAGAATTACTATAAAAAGCATTTCTTTTATTTTACTTCCTTTTAAAATACACAACTTGTTTATACTCTTTCAATTTCATTGATTAAAAAAATACATTCAAAATTTATATTCTAGTAGAAAACATTAAAGAAAATGTGCATTAGCCTTTTTGTGTCAACTGCTATGTAGACATGCCATTATGAAACAAATGCCTCATTTCTCGGCTGCCATGCCAGTGTGACAGAACGTTTTCTCATCCCCCCCCACAACCTGTCACATATTCAGATCGGTGTTTTGGATTGTTTTAGAAACTAATACTCTTGGCCCAAGATGACATTGTATATCCATAGGATATGAGATAGATGTAGATTTTTGCTTCTACATCTAAGCTTCTACTCAAAAAGAGACAAAGATAAATCACATGCTCTTGAATTTTGATTCTATAAATATAAGATGAAAGATAATGCTCTCAACTCATAGGCTTTCTGGCAGGTTTTTAAACGTTTTTTAAAATGATAGTTATTACTATTATATGGGTTATATTATGGATGACTTTTTTTTTTTTTGCTACAGCATTGGGTATTTCTTTAAATAAGCACATGGTATTTATTCATAGATATTATGAAAGTTTTTCCCTTTCCCCCCCCCATACACAGTGCTTGGCGTTTGGATTTGCAGTCCAGTTTCAAATTGAGAATTATACTTTGTGCACGTGAAATGTTCATTAGCAGCATCACAATTTTGAAAATCTTTAGCAAATTATGCGAATCTAGATACTTTTACACCTGTAACTTCACCATTTACATAGGAATACAAACAGAGTTAATGGAAACTTCAGGATTATGCAAGGAAAGAGTTGTTGAATCTCTACTTGAAGAAATTAAATATTGATATTTTTCTCATGATTCCATTATTGGCAGAAGAATTAATTTGACATGGAACAAATACTCATGAGACTGTAGGGAGGAAAAGAAAAGGATTAACTGAAAATTTTCAGCTGCCCAAAACGAAAATTGGTGAGGCAATGGTTTTGAATAGTGGGGGGACCTAAATTTAGCTGATTTTAAAGATAAACGGGAAGTATTTTGTTCAAGTGAACATTCTAAGAAAGTGAGATGATGATGCTTTGTTCACATCCCCACAAAAATCCAGCAAAAATGCAAATGAGCTATCATGAATACAAAGACTGTAACATAGACAGTACAACTCTGATATACGCCTTAATTTCACCAAATGTGGCGATATGTGTTCTGCACTGGTTTTTGGCACGATTGCGAGTTCTATGGCAACCCTGTTGACGTTGAACAATCTTTCGCTGGAGCTCGTTGATTCGCGTCTGTGTCTGAGAAGATGGGAGGGAAAGATAAAATGGTAGAAGGTGTTGAATTGAAGTTCGGCAAAAGGAAATATTATTGTGGCCCTCCTGTTGAGGGGTAGCGGGTATTTGGAGGTGTGGAAAGAAGGTCTGGGAGATTATTTTTAATGGCTATGCATGACAGAAGTAGGGATTTGTGATTTTTTTTGTTTGTGAACCATAGTATGAATTTTCTGGAGTGTGTCTAACTGTCATGTAAATACGATAGTGATTACGTGGCGGTATGAAATTGGTATTTCTGCTGCTCGAAAAAGCATTAATTCATGGTAAGTGCATTTTATTTTATTATTGTTCTTATTTTGTAGAATGTTATGTTCATTGGTTATTTAGTATGAATTTCTGTCATTATTGTTGTTTTTGAAACAGAACGCTGTGTACATGGTATTATTTGAAATTTATGGTTATTATGTTATTTTATTAAAGTAAGGTGTGCGTAGATCGTAGATTCATTCCTTGTCTAAATTGTGCAATTCGTAGATTATTTTAAAGTTTAAACAGGATGCTGTGTACATGGTATTCTTTGAAATTTATTGTTATTATGTTAATTTATTAAAGCGAGGTGTGCGTAGTTCGTAGATTCGTTCCTTGCCTAAATTGTGCAATTCGTAGATGTTTTTTTAAGTTTAAACAGGATGCTGTGTACATGGTATTCTTTGAAATTTATTGTTGTTATGTTAATTTATTAAAGCGAGGTGTGCGTAGTTCATAGATTCGTTCGTTGCCTACATTGTGCCATTTGTAGATGTTTTTTTAAGTTAAAACATGTTGCTGTGTACATGGATTCTTGTCAAATATTTTTGGTTTGAAACTTTATGTTTTTGCTATCTACATTTTTTGTTTTTGTTTTGGATTTTTAGCTTAAATCGTGTGTTCAAAACATAGTTTTTGCATGTGCGAAAACCGCGTTTTTGGAGAAATTTTAAGCTTAAAGTTCGAAATATAGACAAAAAATTTAGATAGTAATATGGCAGCGTGAAGTTTCTCACCAAAAATGTTTGGCGAGAAATTTGCCGACTTGAGGGCGCATATCAGATTAGTTCCACATAGACCTGCCTGCAGAACTCCACTTTGAAATTTATAACACTAAAAATGAATTTTAAGTAAAATGTCTATTGTCAAATGTATGATGTCAAAGGTCACTAGCAAAGAAATAAATACTGAACAAAAAATTAATGTCCAAATTAAAATATTCTAGCAAAAAAAAATTAAGTATTAAAAAAAGCATTAACTATATGAAAATAAAATAATTATTAAAAAATATATAAAGCATATACAACATATATACTCTATAGAACGCTATTAAACAACACATTCACCTTTCTGTAATTTTATGTATAAACTTAGTAATGGAAAATTCCCTAGACCTGGAGAGACGTTCGCGAAAAAAACAGCCAGCCCCAGCAGTATATGTGCATTTGCACTTTTTGCTATAAGAGGGTTAAATATACTACCTAACAACTGGTACCACTGGTACGGTATACCCATTTTTTAGCTGTTTTTCATCTCAAAAGACATATGTAATTGAAGAGACACCTGGCATATATTACTGAACTCATTTTCAAGAATCAGATACCTTAATGAGGAGTTTCATGTTAGACTTAAGTGTTGTTAGTTAATTCTCCCAAAATACAACAGCTTACACACATTTACATGTATCCAACATGCAAAAGATTTGGAATAAATTAACTGAAGAAGGGACTAAATTGTGCCAGGAATACTGGTACACCTAGATGGATGTCAGCATGCTTAGATTGATGCATCTGACCTTAACAGCATATTAAGAAGTAGTTTAAAACTCAGTGACAATCAGCTGAAGAAAAGCTTATAAAAATTGCTATAGGAAGTGCAGTGAAAATAATACAGTCAAAAGTCGTTAATTCGGACACCCATAATTCGGAATGATCTATAATCCGGACCTCAAAGTTAAAAACTTTCTGCGCATGTGCTGCGTTGACACATGCGCATAGGCGTTTACGCATGCGCGTAAGACCTCTTACCACTGCGCATTTGCGTGTGCGCGTTTTATGTATAACGGACGGTGTAAGCTAAAATTATCTAATTATCTATTTCAGTTAATGTTGATGATTGCGTTGTTCTCTAATTTTCGAATTGGATCCAGCTTATTATTTTTTGCAGACTGTAAGAGCAATACTATAAAAAGTAAACTTGAACTTTCGATTATGTCAAATAGAATTTTTGATTCTGGAGCTCCCAAAGGATCGTACAAAACAAAAGTATGTTTCAATGTCCATCAAACAAAAAGTGGAATTGCTGCAAAAAATGGATAAAGACATGAAGAATGTGACAGAGAGGTATTAGTGAAAACGAAAAAATTTCGATTGACCTTTAGTCGGTATTCTCGGCACAGCAATTAACAGGACTTGAACAACGGAACTTTGAAAGTGAATAAAAAATTATGTCTGTTTATAGAATCAAAGAGAAAGTTATTATCACATAAAACGAAGCAACTTAAACAATTACATTCAAAGGCATGTTTAATAAAGTAAACAAATAAATATTAAGCTTTTTTTGTAAATTTTGATACCCTTTAGATCATAATTGTTCTTTATTTCATAAATTACGGTTTCATATTTTTAATTTTAGAATTTTATGAGTCTTATTAACTGACTTATAAACCCTTATTCACGTATAGCAAAATCAATTAATATCATAGCCTAGCATCTGAAAAAAGTACCCTTAAGTATTATTGTTGTTTTACATTTTTCTATTTATATCTATTCTAGCTTTCTCTCATACACACTTTTCAGTTCAAAGGAGCTTTGTTGCTAAGGGACTATTGTTTTCGTTTTGGCATTTTGCGTTGAAATCTTTAAAAGGCTGTATCACTTTTCAAACTGTTGCCACCAAATATTATCACCCTGTAATACATTTGAAGAAATTAAATAATGAAGAATCTGCATAAATGTATGTATGTTTCTCGCATTGTGATAAAACAATGGTACCTAGAGAATTTAATTTTGAAATTTTGAATGACATACTCCTACTGCAAATATGGGCATCTGGAAGCACAAATTTGAAATTTGGAATTTGTTTTGTTATCGAGTTCATATTTTGTAAAACTTTAATGAATTTTTAATTAGCAAACTTAAGGATTTCAAAGCGAGTAATGGCAACATTGTACAGAAAAAACATTTTTATCTCCAGTACGTGAGACTGTGTATCGGAAATTCTAAAGATATGCTCAGTTTAAAATTATTTTGCAATATTGCTCTTAAACTAAATTTTATGGTTTAAGTGCAAAGAACAAGATATTTAATAAATAAAGGTAGCATACAAAATTAAAAAATCGTCCCTTTGGACGTATTTTAAAATCTGAAACCTTTCAGATTTTATTTTTTATTTTATTTATTAATCTAACGCAAATTTAACACTAGGCCCTTGGCATACTTTTTTGTTAATTCTTAACAATTCTGTTCAGCTACACATTTAAAATGCAAAGTGTACACCAGGGCTTCTTAAACTTTTATCAGTCGCAACCCCTTTTTATCATGGAGATTTTTTTTCCCAACCCCCAGGACTCCATAATATTTATGAAAAATTTTTGGAACCCTATAAGCATTGCACAAATTCGACATATGCGTGCGCAAAACTGTCAATGTTTTCATTTGTACCGTAATACAGTACAAAGTCCGTAATCCGGAATCGCCGAAGTAGGGGTTTTTCTGGATTATACATCATCAATTTAGATCTGGTAAGATGGCATGCAGAAATTATACAATTAAAAATATAAAACCATAATTTATGAAATAAAGAGCAATTATGATCTAAAGGGTATTAAAATTTACAAAAAAAAGCTTAATATTTATTTGTTTACTTTATTAAACATTTCCTTCAATGTAAGTTGTTTAAGTTGCTTCGTTTTTTGTGCTAATACTTTCTTTTTAATTCTATAAACACACATACTTCTTGTTCAGTTACAAAGTTCCACTGTTCAAGTCCTGTAATTGCTGTGTCGAGGTTACTTCCTTCACCATCGGAAGTGTGCATGGGTAAATGCTGCTTTACTGGCATTACACACATGTGTAACGAACATGTGCATCAAACGTGCATGTGTAAGTTTGTGGCTTTGAGGTCCCGATTATAGATCATTCTGGATAATGGATGTCCGGATTAGAGACTTTGTACTGTATACTATTGCAGTTTCCGGTCATTAACTTTAATTTCTATTTTTAAGGCATAGAACAATGTGAAATTTTTAAATATGTAACAGACGAAATGAAAGCGTCACGTGCAAAGCAAGTAATATGAACGTTTTTATTATAAAAAGAATGCGTCGAAATGTTTTCCATTTTTCTTTGTGTATTGTCTTACCTATTTTCAGATACATTGTGTAAAAATATTTGGTAATTTTAAAATCATTATAATTAATAAGAAATATCAAAACTGCTAAATTTTTGGCAACCGCCTGGGGATCATGACCCACAGTTTAACAAGCAGTGGCGTACACAGTAAAAAATGATTACAACTACAAAATTTCAATAAATCTGAATTTTTACACCATAAATAATTTACATACAATACTGCATTAACATAAACACTCACTTTTCCAAAATCACGATCAAACAGCATATTACACCATAAATAATTTACATACAATACTGCATTAACATAAACACTCACTTTTCCAAAATCTGTACAATCAAACAGCATCCCAGGTTCAAATAAATCAGCAGAAGGAATGTTAAACACGTTCTGACATGTTTGCAAAAAAGTCCGGATATTTTTCAAACATAGAAACTGAAACAATAAATGGAAAAATAAAAACCCAGATCAAGGGGGGGGAAAGACAGAAGGCTATTTAATGGCATATAAAACAAACAACAATTCTCAGAAAAATACACTCTTCTTAACTTGATAGTTAAATTTAGCATTTTATAAACTCATATTCACTCACAATGTATGTGTTCATGCATATATGTATGTACGTATATACACACACATACATATACATGCATTCTTTTCTGAATTCAGTGCTGATAACAGAAGAGTACCAAATTCTACTAAGGTTTAAATATATTTTTTTTTTATATGCAATCAAACTTTCACCCCCATACAATCATTTTTTTTTTTTTTTTTTTTTTTTTTTTGGCACAAGTAAACTTGGTTGAAAAAGGGGAGGGGAATATTTGATGATTAAAAAAAACCTTTAATTACTGTAACAACCTCTGTAAATATTTCATTACTACAGTTTATCTTCTTTTACAATTTATTTTTTAAAATGCCACAGACTTTTGAAGCACTTTACATAAAGACTTTTAATATACAGACAAATAAAGCTTATTCTTACATATCATCCCATCAACCATGAAAGTCGAAATATGAAAATAGGCAGAAATCTTGAAAAAATTAGGCAAATCATTCTTGCAGAATTCAGAAGAAACTGATGACTGTTTATTTAAAAAACAATCAATACTCAAACAGGCAGGCTTCGTTTTTGCACTTTGTGTAAAAATGTGTTTGTTGGTTTCTACTATTTTGTTAGGGCCTCTAGATTTTCTGGAAGCTCCGCTTAAGATGCTAAGAGACTTCCCACACCTGATTGTTTCAATATATTACTTTTTTGAGTACAAATGTCATATACGGACACATGTGGCCACCAAATGTGGCAATATTTTGTGTGGATGGTTTAGTCGATATTTTGTTTGTATGGCAACCCTTTTCAAGTGGAAAATGTTCTGAGGAATGTAGTTGTATTTCGTCCAGCTGGTTGTTTTGTTATGCGTTAAATAATGGCGTATACTTCCATGAACAAAGTTGTGTAGATATATCAGCCACGTGTTTTAGAGTGCATTCAAGCTAAATTTAGTTCGAGAAGATATGGAGTTATTAATGAAGCATTTGTTCATGGTTGTCCTCATTCTGACAAAAGCGTATTTTTGCAGTTTTTGTGAGATACAGGATATCTGAAACCAAACTTAGTATGTGAGAAGTGCAGGTCTGATATGAAGATTCAGAAGAAAAATCGTGTGATAAAAATATATTTATGGGTGCCCCTTGGCAATAACTTGTGATTTTTGGCAATAGTACATGGACACCGAGTTCGTGCAATTGTTTGCTTTGTTATTTTGGCTTTGCCAAAAATCGCCGCTAGACAAATCCAAAATAACAAGTCAAAGAATTCCAAAAATCGCCGCTACACAAATCCAAAACAACAAGTCAAAGAATTCCAAAAATCACCGCTACACAAATCCAAAACAACAAGTCAAAGAATTGCACAAGCTCGGTATCCATGTACACATCGACCTATTTTCACTTAAAAAAAAATCAGAGAATTGCACAAACTAGGCACTGTGCACTTCCTTGACTTTGTCCATGTACACACCAATCTATATTCACTTAAAAAGTCAAAGGAGAAGCCAATAAAAAAATATATAATCTCAATAAACTACATTATGAAGCCTGGTGGATAGTGCATCGCGCAGCATCACCACAGGTTCAGGGTTCGATCCCCAGGCTGGGCAAGTTCGCTCAGTCTTTCATCCCTTGATTTCCATCTTTTTGGTCGATAAAATGAGTACTAAGTTTGCTTGGGGACTAAACACTGGGGGTCCTGCAACAAGCTGACCACTTGTTCATGGCATATGCTTATGCACCCCAGGGCCCATGGTCAAGAAAGCAGATTTCGGGGCACTGCAGGCACTGGCCCGCTAGGGCTGTTACGCCACTAAGTTTAGTTTTAGTTTAAACTACATTATAAATCAAATAATGAAACAACATAAGAAAGAAAATTCATCTTAGCACTACACAAAGGAAATATCCACTTACTTTACTAACAAATTTCACCGCCTTCAGTTAAACAAAGTTCCTTACCAGCATCCAAAAACTTCCTAAAATTATCTGAACTAAAATATGTATACTGGGATCGCCACATAAATTCACAAAAACAGAGTCAAAAATATCATCCATAGTGCAGGTATCCTCCAATGTTCGACCATATGCATTTCCTTCCTACAAACAGAACACTTATAAAGGCAACTTAGTAAACCTTCATTTACACACCAATCAATTAATGCTTTATTCCGTTTCATTCAAAATCATGCAGAAACTTCAAATTAATCTTAAAACATACAGCCATTTTACCGTGTAAACCACAAAATAACAACATTCAAAATCTGCCCCATCATTCGAATTCACCTCAATCACTCAACTAATTACATCATAATAGGACTTCAATATCATTCAACTACTCAGGTTACCATAAATGAAACAACAACTTGGAGATAAATAAAACAACAACTTAGCAATAATCCATGGGCACCCTTCAATCTACTCAAACCAATCATGTTTCTGATGGATTTGTGTGGATTTCCAGAAAAATTGTTGAGGGTAAATAATGTGGTTCCCAACAAAGTTTGAGGTTTGGATCCTGGTTTTAATTCAGTAAGTTGACTTTAGAAGAAATTTTTATTGTAATGTTTGAAATTTTGAACCATAGAAACATGTCTGACATAGCTAAGTCATGGCTATTTCATTCACATGCTTTGTGTGATTGCCATGGGTTTATTAATCAAAGTATATTGGATTATACATGTGATATGTCTGTCTTTACAAGTTTTTGTTTGAAATTAATATTTTGCTTTTTTGTCTGAACTATTTTGAATGGTAAATGAATTTACTTTTTAATGTTTTTTATTTTGTAGAGAGTTATTTTAATTGTTGAATTGCTTAATTTTGCTTTTTTTTTTTTTTTTTTTTTTTTTTTTTTTTTTTTTATTATTATTATTTTTTTCTGTTGAAACTGTTTGAATTTATTGTTGTTATTTTAATTTAAATTTGTCATAAAATGTTTTTGGCGAGAAACTTCATGCTTTTACTTACCTAAATTTTTTGTTTTCATTTCAGACTTTTAGAGTAGTAAATCGTGTGCAAAAACGCAGTTTTTGCATAGGTGAAAACTGAGTTTTTTCAGATATTTTAGGCTTTAAGTTTGAAATGTAAACAAAAAATTTAAATAAGTAAAATCGCGGAGTTTCTCGCTAAACAAATTTTTCCGGTTTGTATATGACAGTAGTTCCCTTTTTTGTTAGTCGTATTCAGCTCACTAACTTGTGCACACTGCTATGCACATTTTTTATGGTAGAATTCAATAATTTAGAAAATAATAATCTGCTTGATGTTCTGTAGAAGGCAAATCCCAAACTTAATTCATTTATTTTTCAAAATGCAACAAAAAATAGAGTAATGACAGTTAATTTATATCCTTGTTCATAAAAACAATGTCTAGCTTATTGACTATCTACTGGGGCTACACCAAACGAAAGTGCAGATGTTAAAAGTGCGTTGTTACATCCTGCTTAACTGTACCTAACGTTTGCACTGCTTTTTGCAATTAGTGGATAATAACTAAGTATCAAATATTAACCTTTTTTAAAGTTTTGCAATTAGTGGGATAATAACTAAGTATCAAATATATAATTACATTTTTTTTTTCTTGCTTTCCATGACTAACTGTGAAGTCGAAAGAAATGTAATACTGATGACTTGTATAATTTAACTACAGGCAAAAAACCAAATGGAAACTCTTCTAAGAAGGTCCACCTGAGTCACCAATGCAGATGTAAAAGAGCATTTTCGCAATGAAATTTAGAGAAGATGAATTAAGATGCTACAAAGTATTACACTGTCTCATTATGAGAATACTGAACTGGATACTACATTGCAGTGATAAAAGTCATGGGATACCTCTTAATATTTTGTCGGTCCTCCTTTTGCCCGGCCAAGTGCAGCAACTCGACGTGGCATAGACTGAACAAGTCGTTAGAAGTCCCCTGCAGGAATATTGAGCCATACTGCCTCTATAGACGTCCATAATTGTGAAAGTGTTGACGGTGCAGGGTTTTGGGCACAAACTGACCTCTCGATGATGTCCCATAAATGTTCAATGGGATTCATATCGGGCGATCTTGGTGGCCAGATCATTTGCTGGAATTGTCCAGAATGTTCTTCTAACCAATCGCGAATAATTGTGCCCCGGTGTCATGGTGCATTGTCATCAATAAAAATTCCATTGTTGTTTGAGTACGTGAAGTCCATGAATGGCTGTAAGTGATCTCTAAGTAGCTGAAGGCATCCATTTCCAGTCAATGATCGGTTCAGTTGCACCACAGGACCAAGTCCATGCCACATAAAAACAGCCCAGACCCAGACCATTATGGAACCACCACCAGCTTGAACAGTCCCTTGTTGACAACTTAGGTCCATGGCTTCGTGGGGTTGCGCCACACTCGAACCCTACCATCAGCTCTTACCAACTGAAATCGTGACTCATCTGACCAAGCCACGGTTTTCCATTCGTTTAGGGACCAACTGATATGCTCACGAGGCCCATAAGAGTCACTGCAGGCAATGTCGTGCTGTCAGTAAAGGCACTCGAGTCGGTCTTCTGCTGGCATATCCCAAGGAAGACAAATTTCGCCGCACTGTCCTATCAGACACGTCCCTCGTACATCCCACATTGATTTCTGCCGTTATTTGACGCAGTGTTGCTTGTCTGTGAACATTGACAACTCTACGCAGACGTCACTGGTCTCGGTCATTAAGTGCAGGTGGTCGGCCACTTCGCTGTCCATGGTGGGATGTTATGCCTGAAATTAAATACTCTCAGCACACTCTTGACACTGTGGATCTCGGAATGTTGAATTTCCTAACGATATCCGAAATGGAATGACCCATGCGTCTAGTTCCAACTACCATTCCACATTCAAAGTCTGTTAATTCTCGTCGTGCGGCCATAATCACGTCAAAGCCTCTTCATATGAATAACTTGAAGACAAATGAATGCCTTGCCAAAGCACTTCACATTTATACATTTTCTACGCGATACTACTGCCATCTGTATATTTGCATATTGCTATCCCATGACTTTTGTCACTTCAGTGTATATTTGAATTCTCTACTGAATGAAATTTTGTACAGACTTCAAATATAATTCCTAGTTTTGTATGCTTTAAATGTAAAAAAAAAGAAAAAAAAAAATTTTTGAAATAATTAGCTTAACCTTTAACAACGAAATTTATTATCATTTATTACAACAACATGTGCTAATTAGTGCTGTACTTCTCAGCTATATGTGAAATTAGGTTTACAACAACATTACACATTGGGCAAGTCTTATTTGGTTCATTTGTGTACAATGAGCAAGTGGTGTCTTGATTTTCCAACTATTGGAAGAGAATATCCATCATTCAGAAGATTCTAAGTACGTTTTAAACCAGCAGTAATTTTTAGTAATTTTAGCAGTAATTTTTAGTGGGACATATATGTTCCATCAGGAGTCAAAAGGTTAATAAATAAAATAACATCAGTTTGAATGGCTGTTTTATTACTGAATTGCATATTTATTCAGTACTCATGTTTTTGGGACCAGATTCAGAAATGCATGTACACATGGATATATGTGTTTATATATGCAAGTACATATGTATGTGTGTGTACACACACACACATCTGCACATACATACGTATATTCCTGAATTCGGTCCCCATAATGAAGAGTACTATTTATTCATTATCATTAACTTGCTTATTATTACGATTATCAACATATGACTCATAAATGCTAAAGGCTTATGCAGTTCATCATTAGCCTCCCTTGAAAGCAGTCTCGGTTTTATTTGCAAATGAAATAACAGAAAAAAAAATCTAAATTCCTTCATAAACTCTAACTAGCATGAAAATAACGATATGCAGAAGAAAACGCACAACTGTCATCAGTTAATTTTAAAAATACGAAAATAATGCCATGTATAAGAAATCACAGAATGGTCAAGATTTAGTTATGTATAATAGCAAAAAAAACTTTTTTAGGAATTCATTCGGGCTCATAATACTTTACGTCAGAAAGTCATGCATTAATAAAAATTTCACCGAGTTTTATTTTCCAATAAACTTAAATAACATAAAAGAGTAAGTTATATTACGAAAAGAGAATTTTAAAATATATATGTAAAATTACCTGCGACATCTGGGGCCGTAAACTTATTTCTTTCAGATCGATACATCCTATCACTAATTTATTAAGAAGCTGACACAGCAGAACACCATCACGAAGTGTGTAAACCAAGTCTATTACTTGAGCAGATGGCCATGTAACTCTATGATCTGGGAGTAATACTTGCTGTTTAATTAACCAGTCTGCGCATTCCCGCCACAAAGTGTCCGCCATTTTGATCGACCAGCAATCAAAATATATGAGAAAAGAAAATAGATACACAAAGCATATTAAAATAAAGGCAAATGTAAACACACCCTTCCCAAAATCTGACACTTCGTATCACTTTTCATCACAGCATCTGCTAATCTTCCATCACTACATTAAATGTCTTATAGCTCATTGCCAAAACCGATGTCAATATTTAATTGCGCAAACTTTCGGGAAGTGCATTAGGGAATGCCATGAAGTGTAATAAGATATGCTGAAATTGTCTGTAATGAGTGAAATAAGATTGTTTTATTCAATAACTTTAAAGTATTGTAGTTTAAACTTAGCATTTTAAAAATAATGTAATCTTGCCATCCTTGGTTAAATGTTTTAACTTCGAATGGCAACAGTTCTTAGAGGGACAATCCGTATGTTGATATTTGAGTTTCGAAATTAATTTCATTATTCGTAAGTAATGGGGCGACAGAAGAAAATTCCTGATGGTTGGCTTGATTACTACCCAATTAAAGATATAGTTTATGATGCTCGTATTGTACCATTTAAATGTCCTCTTCCTGAAAGATTATTCCAAAATAGCAGCATTGTTTCTTATAAATGGACTCCATCTGATGTAATGCAACGTGTGCCTAACTTAGGTATGGTTATTGACTTAACGTTTAAATTTCCTGCTTATTATAATCCGCAAGAATTTTTAGATTGTGGTGTGCAATACAAAAAAATAGGTTGTGTCGGCCATGATGTGCCTAAAGAAGAAAATTTTTTCGAATTGTTAGATACTGTTGAATCATTCATGATATCGAATGCGAGAAATGATCTAGTTATCGGATTGCATTGTACTCATGGTGTGAATCGGACAGGCTATATGCTTTGTCGCTTATTGGTAGAACGACTTCGTTATACACCTGGGCAAGCTTTGGAAGCATTTGCTTGTTCTAGAGGTTATCCTCTAGAACGCGAAAACTATAGAGAAGCGATATATAATCTTCAACCCAGGTAGAGTTAAGGAAAATGCATAATTATTGATTATTCTGAGCATCAAAACCTAAAAATTTTGAATATGCATAAATATACTGTGTTAAACTTTTATATGTAATACAATTGATTGCAAAAAAAAAAAAATGTATTTTTGTGTAGTTTTCTTGTAATTTTATTAAAAGAATTATATGCTGCTTTAGGTTTGTTTATATGTCTGATTTATTTTACCTGTGTATTCGCTATGCCAATGGTTCTCAAAATGTGAATTACAACTGGACTGAGCTCTCCATGATACATACTGTGGGACAAAGATGATAGAAAATGTTTTATGATATGATTATGTTAAACGTATTATTATATTTATTAGCTGAACCTATTTAAAAGTGTAGATATGCTTTGTATTCAACTGAATTTGGCCATTGTTATGAACATATCTGTGATGAAATTGTATAGGCATGGCTAGAATAGAGCAAGATGCCAGAATTTCACCATTAGTCATATGGGTATAATCCCCCTGCATTCCAGTTTTGATTGAGAGAATTCCTGAGAATAAATGTGAGAGTCTTCCGGTTATATTCTACAGCATATTGCTTTTTCTGTGTCTTATTGTAAAATTCTTATACTCCATAACACAGTTAAATATCAAAATTTGGGATAGCTTCCTATCTTAGTGTCTTAATCTATGTTAAGCATTAAGTTGTCCCATAACTTGATGCTTAACATAGATTTCTCCTTTGGCCATTCTATTACTTGTGCTCGCTAGTCTGGCAGCATCAGCCCAAGCCTACGAAATTCCTCCTGGCAAGGAGTGCAAATTTTATGCCTGCCATTGGCAACAGCATTGAGCATATAGATGACATTGCAATTTTGCTGAGTTCTTTCCCTAATTTTGATGGAGAGCACTGCGAGGAAGATGGCTTCAAGGGTCTTCCACCCCTTTCACCAAACCACATAAGAGGACTTCAGCTTGCCATAGCGACACTATACATTCACAAACATCCATTCCTTCTCCAGGATTCGAACCCGGGTCCTTCGGCACAGCAGTTAGGGACGCTAACCAGTATACTGATTGGGTGGCATTCTCCCAGTTGTATATTTCTGATACATTTTGAAAATTTTATGATTTTTTAAAATCGACTTTTTTAGTTCCAAAAATTCTCTCTCTCTCTAATAGTTTGTTAATTCCAGAGTCAATGAAGTAAGTCACAAGTTTATTTTTTTTAATATTGCGGATACCGATAATAACAAAAAAATTAACTTGGCATTCATAATGTTGATATATAATTGCAGTTGTGGGCAATTATTTATGACTATATTAAATTCTTATTTATACAGTCAAAAGTCTTTAATCCGGACTCTTTGGGACTTCGGCAATTCTGGCTTATAGATCATCAGTTTAAATCTGGTAAGATGGCATGCAGAAATTATAGTTAAAAATATGAAATCATAATTTATGAAATAAAGAGCAATTGTGATTTAAAGGGTATCAAAATTTACAAAAAAAAACTTAAATATTTATTTGTTTATTTTATTAAACATTTCTTTCGACGTGGGCATGCGTAAAGCATACATTACGCATAGTCGAAATTAGAAAATTGCAACCAGAAAACTATTTTATGCTTATTCGTAATATTTATAATGACGAGGGAATTGATTTAAATCATATCGGAGTACATAGAGATGAAACACTACATTTGATAAGGAATTATAAGCCAAATAAAATAAAAACATCTGCCCTGAAGATGAGGATAGTGCTGACAGTTCAAATTCCAGTTCATTGCGTGCTGCAACGTCCCTCCCCCCTCGCAGAGCAGCGTGAAATTGATAAACAGATTTCGGAATGGTTAGAAAAACAAATTACCTCTCTGTTATTTTCTTCATGTCATGTACCCAATGCTTGTCCATTTTTTTTTATCCATTTTTTGCAGTAATTTCACTTTTTGTTTAATGGACATCGAAACATGCTTTTCGCTTTATAGATCCTTTGGCAGCTCCAGAATCGGAAATTGTATTTGACATAATCAAAAGTTCAAGCTTACTTTTTCTGAAATTGCTCTAGCAATTTCATAAAATTATAGTCTGCAAAACATAATAAGCCGGATCCAATTCGAAGATTAAGGAACAACACAATCTGAAATAACGCGACTGAAATAGATAATTTTAGCTTGGCTATACCATTGGTTATGCATTAAACATGCATGCGCAGAAAGTTTATAGCTTTGAGGTCTGAATTATAGATTATTCCAGATTAAAGACTTTTGACTGTATCTTTTATTAAAAAGGAAGAAAGCTGTCATTTTGGACAAATGTCGAAAAACTATACAGTATCATTTAAAATGGTACATATGATAATTATTAGTTAACTAATAATAGTTATTTATATTTATTAAGCACTTTCTAATTATCCACACTTCATGAATTGGTGACTTTGGGGAGAAATGCTTGTTTGAGTATCTTTACATATATTTCTGTAATGCATCCAGTGCTGCCTATTTTAACACCTTTTTCTAAAAATCATTTGGTATTTCTTGTTACTTTTGTTCTCTCCACCAGGTATACAGTGATTTTCTAATCACTGTATACCTGGAGAGAAAAATAATATAATTTTTGCTAAAAAGAAGATTGAGGAATTCTGAACCACCCAATAACATTATAAATTTCATTGTAATGAAAATAAAAGAGGGCAAACTCCACTATTCCATTACAGTTCATTACGACAAAATACACACTCAGTGCAAAATGAAATGTTAATAAAAAAAATGACTTGAATTTGAAAAGCAAATCCACATATACTCAAACATATGTGTGCTAGATGCATACCGGTGTTCTTGCATAAATACTTTTTGGCAACTTGATGCATTGTATCATGAATATATTTCTGGGAGTATAGATAATCATATAATACTGTATATTAAATAGTAATCCTTCAATTTTACCATATAATTTGATGAATATAATACTGTATATTAAACAGTAGTTCTTCAATTTTAACATATAATTTGATGATTGCTGGTGCAATTTGGATGGTTTATTTATGAAATAGGATGGATGGATATGCAGTAAAGAGTTTCTTCCTTGTTTTAGCTGTTTATTTTGTACAGAGTTAAGAAAGCAAAAAATTCATTTTACTAATCTGAATTGATATGTGAATCATTTGAAATTAATTCTTTGATTGCATTGTATTTAACTTTGTGCATTTGGTTGATCTTTACATTATGGTAACTTGGCGATTTTTTGGCGACCAACTCTCCTACAGCAACCCTCAATTTTTTTTACCCCATTTTGTCTTCACGAAGTAAAGACATGTTTCTTTTCTTTTTATCTCCTGAACACTTCTTCCAACAATCTACTGGCTGAATAACACTTATGCTAGAAATTTTATCAAACAAAACTGCTTAATCATGACAAATATTCACTGCAAAATTAGGAAAAACTGCACAATACCATTCTCCTTACGCATTTTTCAAAATAACACATACACGTAAACCATGTACACGCCGACTTATTTTTACTTAAAAAAACATCCCAGAATTGCACAAAAATGGCATTGCGCACACTCTTCACTATATCCATGTACACTGCTTTTTTCTCATAAATTAGAAAAATTTCACGAAAATGCATAACAATGTCAAATATTTAAATTATTTCCATGCACGTTTATTTCAACTTAAACATATACCAAATTCCTACAAACATAAAATTCACAAAATAACTATCATTTCATTAAAATATAATTAAATTCAAAAACACTACTTAAAATGAGCACATACATTAAATTAATAAAAATTACCTTACAATCCTAATTACTTTAAACTAAATCATTGCTAATAACAATTTTCCCAATAATACCAAATTCCTTTCCACCTTACATTTGCAACAATGCATAAAAATAATATCCTCAAATAATTAAAAATACTAACTTACCTAATCTTCTTCAGAATCTTGATTACGTGGCAGATACACTTTTCTTACTTCTGTTTCAGAATCTTTAAAATCATACTTATCTTTCAAAGCAAGATACCAGGTAAAATAAATAACATAATAAAACATCTTTATTTCTCTCTTGCACAACCTTAAAAAACATTTATTACTATCCTTTCAATACCACTAAATACCCATTTCGAATTCACTTTAGTTACGGCCATGGATCCAAAAATTCACAAACACTATTTCACACAACACAGAATAAAGCCAAATACAAAATTGCCAGATTTTTTTCCCGATTAAAGAACAGTAATTCGTCCATTAATATCACATAACTTATCCCATGATCTCTCATTTCCCTCACACAAAATAATGCGTAATCAGAACTGAATACTACTCACATTCTTAACAAAGTCTAACTAACCTAATCTTCTTCCGAATCTTCCTTACATGGTGGATACACTTTTATTATGGATTCAATAAAATTACTGAACGATTTTTTTTTCCGAATTTGATAAAAAAAAATTCTCTTTATCACATCTACAATTCACTTTAGACAGCGCCATACAATCCCAAAATTATTCAACCCTACTTCACACAACACACAATGAAGCTTAATACAAAATAATATACATCCACAGATACTTGTCCAAATTCCCCCCTTTTCCGATTAAAGAACCGTAATTCGTCCATTAATATCACATGACATATCCCATGATCTCTCATTTCCCCCACACAAAATAATGCGTAATCGGAACTGAGTACTGCTCACGTTATTACCAAAGTCCCAGGTAGTAACCTTTATCGCCTCCAAAATGTCGCCAAACTACCAGTTACCATATTGTAAAGATCAACCATGCATTTATTTAGTAGTAGTAGAATATTGGTAGAAATAATATCTTCAAAATTTAATTTTGCTGTATTGGGGCATCTGAAAAGTTCTAGAGATTTCTGATAATAATCACATAAGCACCATTTTGTTCTAAGATTTATTGCTATCTTTCCAGCAGTTGGCAATTTCCTTTTTAAAAAAGTTTAAGTTTATTCATAGAGAAGATAACGAGGTCTTGTTTGACGTACTGCAAAGAAATCAATTTCAAGCCATTCAGAAAGTTTTGAAGAGATGAATATCCAGGAAGCCAAGGCTTGGTAAATACGGATAGTCAAATGAAACATTCCAGCCATCAATAAGTCTTTGTTTGATACTTATCAAAATGTGA